ACTCATAAAAGGGAGGGTTCATGGATAATAACCTGAAAAAGTATGCTCTCCCACAGGCTACCGTGACAAGCCTACCGGGTGAGAGCAAAGGATGTTTCGGACAGTACCCACGTACCGTGGGACGGTACCCTGGTACTGTGGGGACAGTACCCCCTACCGTTAAGAGTATCGTGGGGTACCTAAACCGGACAATATTTTGTGTTTCGTCAAGGATTGATTCCAAGGCTTGTGTGTGTTGCATGACAGGAAGTAGGGGGTGACAACACCTCAGACTAGACCGTTAATTGTTGTAATTATGCTACATGGTGTTGATCCAACACATATGTGAATATGTAAATTGTATGAACCTCGTGATTTAAATGTTCACATATGTGTTGGCTCAACACTATGTATAAAAGCGCATGATAGACACCATGTAGCATAATTACACCATGTATCAACACCATGTATAAACACCATGTAGCATAATTACAACAATTAACGATCTAGTCTGGGTTTTGTCACCCCCTACTTCCTGTCATGCAACACACAAAAGCCTTGGAATCAATCTTTGACGAAACACAAAATATTGTCCAGTTCAGGTACCCCACGATACTCTTAACGGTAGGGGGTACTGTCCCCACAGTACCAGGGTACCGTCCCACAGTACGTGGGTATTGTCCGAAACATCCTTTGCTCTCACTCGGTAGGCTTGTCACGGTAGCCTGTGGAAGAGCATACTTTTTCAGGTTATTATCCATGAACCCCCCTTTTATGAGTTTCATCATATGCGCATGCAGATCTTTGATAACAAGGGAGTCTTTGTCGCCTATAATTTCAATATTAAAATAGGACAGGAGTTTGACCGCATATATATCTCCTTCATGGACTTAATTAGAATTTTATCCACTGAAGAATTTCAGGATATACCAGTGATACCCTTGATAACATCTCTGAAATTTTTTTTGAAGTCGTCCCTCATGAAAATCCACCACTTCTTCGTGTAACGTTTTTCATTAAATGAAAATATAGTCTGGAAATTCGCTGCCAGGAATTGCTTCATCTTAGTGTCCATCCACACATCAATATGCACTAGGTGCGAATCAAGAACCAACATGCTCTGGTTATCGACATTTGAAACAAAAAATCTGGCCTTCGCAATATACATGCTGTTTATTTTTTCTAGTTCTTGAAAGGTTTCTCTTTCATCCTTGTTTAGGATGAACGAGAAATCATCCTCCACCATTTCATGTCTAGAAAGAAATTCACTTGCCCGTTGAGAATGGCGTGGTGCACTTGATCATTCCGTGTAGTCTTCCACTTTAATGTAATATACATTTTAAACAATCATAACACATTTTAAATTTACAAGCAAAAGAAGCATCTCGTAATCAATGTATTAAATAAACAAAGGTTCCTAAGGACTTCTCCTTACAAGTAAACAGTGGAAGGAATAAGGGGGGAAATTATAACCAGAAGAANATGAACGAGAAATCATCCTCCACCATTTCATGTCTAGAAAGAAATTCACTTGCCCGTTGAGAATGGCGTGGTGCACTTGATCATTCCGTGTAGTCTTCCACTTTAATGTAATATACATTTTAAACAATCATAACACATTTTAAATTTACAAGCAAAAGAAGCATCTCGTAATCAATGTATTAAATAAACAAAGGTTCCTAAGGACTTCTCCTTACAAGTAAACAGTGGAAGGAATAAGGGGGGAAATTATAACCAGAAGAAGAAAAATAAAAAGAAGAAGACCACAAAAAAGAGGGTATCAAAGAAGATTAGTAACTAGGTGTAGGGTTCTCATCGGAAGTTTACCGGTCATATTCTTAACTTACATTTTTAATACCCATTTGATAGAACAATGTTTTACTTGGATCAACCATGTTTTCTATCATGCGCTTTTATATATAGGTAAATTAGCTAAAGTGCAAGTAATTGCCTCTATTACACTCTTTTTATATATCATTTCTTTGACCTTATTAAGAAAAATTATCTTTAAAACTAGTTTGGATAATATACAGCCATATCACTCAGAATGCAAGCAAATTAAGTCACTTGAGATGACATTAATTGTGAGCACATGATGAAGTTACAAGTCATTAAAGAAAACAAGGATCTTACATTAGCAATAGCCATTAATGATAAACACAAATTTCTTCAAACCACTTAACATAAGATATACCACATAAATTAGTACATAAATAACTACTTGAACATCAACTACAGAACCTATATTATTGATAAGTCATAGCACAAGTCATACCACATAAATTAATACATAAACAACTCACATACTAGATAGCCCCAACAACACTAATAAATGGCTAACCTACTTCAAAAGAGCCACCAGAACAACAAAATGCCCCAACAAATTGCAAAGTTGTTTTATGGTATCATATAGATTTGCACCCCTGATGCGATGATTCTCATAGGGCCCGGGTCTGCTTTGTTCACTCTATTTTCAGCTCTACCTACATTCTCAGCCTGTGCTGATGATGATTATACTGTCCTCTCTTTTCCCAAAAAACATTGAAGTGTGGAATTCTTATGAAGCTAAACTGGATGGCCCCTTTTACACAAATGGATTAACCTTTCAACAACTTGTGCTTCAATGGTGGTTCACTTTAATAAAAAAGAAGAAAGAAATCTCTTAAAGCAATATTCTAAGGCTGGCTTTTCCCGGGATTATCATTTGGTGCTTGTTGAAGACCTATAACAAGCTCCATTGCAAGGGAGGTCAGTTCCACAAATTTTTGCTCATCCTGAACATTAACAACCTGAAACAGGACCGGTACTTGGCTAATAAAAGGGCCAAATCTGCTCTACACTCAGTTTTCCCCTAACCATTTGGTCTATGACATCTCTTCTGCAGTAAAAATCTTGTAAGTAGTAGATAGCTTCTCTTTTGAATTCTACTTTTGTACCTCTCTCTTTTTCTTCATGTAATGAGTGTTGTGTTTTTTCCTTCTTTCCTATATAATTTGGCCATAGTCCATTGCAATACATAAGTGAATGTGATCAATGAAAATGCTAGTGTTACTTTGTTGTAAGCATTAATGAAATAGTGTAGTGCTATTTTATTCAAATTCCAATTTTTACTTCGTATATCTTAAGCGTAGCTCTCTTGAGGGTGAGTGTTGGTTTTTTTTAAAAGGATTGAGATATTTAAGTTAACCCTAAGTGAGATATTTGAGTGTGTAATATCTCATTAGCAACCTTAGATAATCCCCCCCCCCACACACAACACACAAAACATCCCCAATTTCTTGCCCGATTCTTATCACCCTTTGCCTAAGCATACATCATTTGGCATCAAAGCTCCACTCGGGAAACTTTCCTAAGTCTCAACAAATAACCAGAGGACCGACAATGCAAACATTGTGAAAATAGGCTGCTGAAAATTTTTCCAGAAAAAGTTCAGCTTCAAAGAACTGATCACACAGGGAGGTACACATTTTATGTTACAGTGAGTTTTTCACAGAAGCGAGATCACTTGTTATCTACGCCTGGCCGTTGATTTCACTCAAATCCGTGTTGTGGTTAATGAGATACGTCCTTTTAAAGCTGACAATATTATTCTACCAATTCACCCTACCAAAAAACATCTTACACCCACCAAAAATCTGCCAAAATCCCTTCTCAAAGTAAGGCAAAACCAGCCCCATCCTCGTTCCAAAGTCAAGCCCCGTCTACCCAAGAGTTGACCCCAAGTAATCCAAAAACAATTCGGTGTTTTCATTGTCAAGGCATGGGTCATTATGTTTATGAATGTCCCAACAAGAAAGTAGTAGGCCTTGTTGAATGTGAGAAAGAACCTGGAGAAGTGATAGAAGAAGCTAAGGAATCTGAATACCTTGGTCCTGATGAAGGAGAGATTTCAGTTATCCTGAGGGCTTTAAGTGGAATTGCCTAAGATATGTTCCTTAATAATGGATGGTTGAAGTTTTGCTAAAACAAGCTTAATCTAAGTCTATCTCCGCATCCTTCCCCGTATACAATCCAATGGTTGAGTCACGAAAAAGGACTTCGAGTGCACTCTCAGTGTTTAATCTCATAAAGCATTGGAAAAAGAAAAGAAAAAACTATGATATATGGTGGCCGATGAACGCATGTTATATATTATTGGGACGCGGACGCCCCTTGTTGTTTGGTAGGAAAGCAAACCATGATGGGTATGCAAATACTTATTCTTTCCAACTTGAAAAAAAAATATCACTTACCTCACTACCCCCCTCAAGTACATCCGACGCCATCCTCCTCTTCTACCCAAGAAACCAACCCTTTTGCTTTATCAAACTTACTACAACCTGAACAACATGAATACCACTCTTTCAAATATTTAATTCTCCTTGATCTTCAAGAAGTTGAACCCAAACCTGCCCATTTACACCGTCTCGCAGAAGATGAACCCCTATTCGAAGAACTTAACCATCTCTTTCCTAAAGATGTTTGTAGAAAATAATAATCGGGAAAATATTCTGTATATTTATATTCAATGGTTCTGATTGATACAAGGAACTTCTATTCTATTTATAGGAAAAGAGAATTCTAAAAGGAAAAAGAATACTAATCCTACAAGGAAACAAATTAAGTCAAAGTAGGAAACAAATCCAACCGAAAATCCCTTGGGGATTTGGCCCCTTCGTGCGCCCCACGTAACAATGTCCCTCGATCCTCATGGCTTACCGTCTAAACGAGACACATTCAACACAAAATTGATCTTCTATCTGAAGATACCCTTCCAAACAAACAAGCCTATGGGATGAACTCGAGATAAACTAAGGATATACAAGTATATGAATGGGGAATGTATTTACCAAAGGCTTCATCCCTGAAAGTCTTAGTCCTGGGGCATCAATGTTGAAGAGCACGTACCAAATTTGTCTACCATCAAGTAGACAAATTTGGGCAAATAGACAGTAACTACAAATTGGTAAAATCATATCAACCAAAAAAAGATTTTGACAGACCTGCTGCCAGTGCTCTACATTGACTTGTTCTATCTTTACCTGCTCAATCTCTGCAATGATTTCTTCGAGTTCACATATCGCAGATTCCACAGAAGGCTTGGATCCGGAGATTGACTTTTCCATTTCCTCGCGACAACTCAACTTCTTCCGAAGCACGCGCAAGCGCTCAGAAAGAGCTCCCTGACATTGGGAGGAGGCGCCCCCAACTCCATTGATTTACAGGCGAGCAGAAGAGATTTGCTGGCTTCAGGCGTCTCTTCACTCCTTATAGTAGAATTTGTGAGTGACCTAGCATTTACAATCATCCCAAATGGGTCCGGCCCAAACTCATTCCATCAGAAAGTCTGAAGTCCGGCTCTCTATTTCTTTTAAGATACATTTATCATTTTTAATTCAAACTTATACTCTGTATAAATTAATACAAATAATATTTATTAATAAAAATAGATAAGTAACAATATATTCCCATAAAACCTTTCTTCTTTCTTTTTTTATACGTCTCACAAAATACTTCTCATTTCTATTAAAAAGTCTCTTATACCCCTTACTTTTTCATACTTATATCACATCATACCTTTTTACTAATAATCTATCCATCAAATTATACTTTTACCCATCACATCAAAGGACATTTTTGAAAATTCAATACCAAAATACACTCTCTTTAAATCTCTCTTAAAAAGCAAAACTCGCATGTTTCATGATACGGAGGTAGTATAAAATAAGGGTGTTGCTAAATCCACAAAAATGACTATATCCACATCTTTTACTAATATTTGCTATATCGACATCCATTAATACAAAGTTTATATTGGTGTGAATTTAACAAATTTACGTGAAAGAGGTGGATATAGCCATTTGTGGGTGGATTTAGCATCACCCTAAAATAATGGTATAAATTCAAAATTAACAAAGGTAAATAAAAATACCTTTAAAATTGAAATTAAAAAATAAAATTGAAATTGAATATTCAAAATTGATTACTTTACAAAAGGGTTTAAAATTTAAAAAAAAAATGATATTGAAAAAAAATGACGAAGAAGAAGCTAAAAATGGAATTGGGGTAAGGAGGAAGAAGAAGATAGGGGGGGGGGGGGGGTGACCGGCGCGGCGGAGTGCCTGCAGTGGGTGGCCGCCGCGATAATCAGCCTCAAATCCAAAGCAGCTTTGAGCCGCGGTTGGGGCTCGGAAACCGTGCGGCGCGGCTGATGGGCAGTCTTCGCAAATGCCCTAACAAGTGGAGTGGAATTTAATGGCCCTGTCTTTTATATTTTTTCATTTATGTCCTTGAATTTTGAGTAAATTCCATAAAAGGTCCTCAATTATTGATCATTTTACATATTTAGTTCCTATATATCAAATATTACTAATTTAGTCCCCAATTATTATATTCATTTTCACGAATGGTCCTTTGTTAACATTTTCATTAAGAACGTGAATAAAATTGTATATTCATACTTCTCTCTTCTTAATTAAGCTTAGCTCTAAACCCAAAACTGAAATGATCATTCCTTTTTGAATTATTAGTCTTCCTGGTGGACCCTGAAATAAGCTTTATGGATAAGTTTTACTGGTTAGTCTCAAGAAATTACAAAAACAATAAACATTAAAACTCATCCATAAAGGTTACTAGTTTCGAATTTGGGTTCCACCAGTTAGACAAACAATTGAAAGAAGAGCGATGATTTTGGTTTTGGGTTCAAAGTTTCAAACTCAGCGACGAGTTTGGAAAAGAAGTGCGAGGGAGGGAGAAAGCTTAATTGAGGAGAGAATTGAGTATGAATTAACAATTTTTTCCACGTTCTTAACGGAAATGTTACCAAAGGACTATTCGTGGAAATGAATATAATAATTAGGGACTAAATTAGTAATATTTGATATGTAGGGACTAAATATGTAAAACGACCTATAACTGAAGACCTTTTATGAAATTTACTCTTGAATTTTCTAAAATGTTCAAATGTCTCACTCTTTTTTTCAATATTTTTTAAAATTTTCAAAAGAGTAAATTCTATAATTGGTCCTTTATAACATAGGTTTCCTTATTTAGTACTCTATTATCAAATATTACACAAGTAGTCCTTCTTTTATGGGTACATTTCCACAAATAGTCCTTTTTTTGATCTTCTATCATGTTAGTGTTGATTTGAGGGCTAAAAGTGTAATTTCACAATGATAATATATCTTTTTGTCATACACAATTTCAAAGGCTGTTCCGTTTGCATCGTTTGTGAATTACAGTCGCTTTTTACGACAACTATAATCTACAAATGTGATCTTTCGTCAGAATCCTAGCCCACAATCATAGTCATTATTTTTGTGTTATCCGCTTAACCAATATCAGAACACGTCACTAGACATAATGCTGACGTCAAATTATACTTTTAACATTTAAATTAACACAAACACGACAGAAGATCAAAAAAGAACCATTGGTGGAAAGGTACCCTTAAAAAGGACTACAGGGATAATATTTGATAATATGGGACTAAATATGGAAACCCCATGTTATAAATGACTAATTATGGAATTTACTCTTTTCAAAAATCACCACCAAAAGTTCATACTCTTCTTTTTTGAATTTTTCTTAAACAGATCAGCTTAGTTTACTTTTTTATAAAAGTAAAGATTGTGGTGTTGAAATTTGTTTAGATAAGAGAGAATTTTTCAGGTTTAATTTATTAAAAAGAAAACAAACAAAGTATGAAATATTTTAGTAAAAAAATGTCAAAACTTTTTTAAAATGAAAGTATTGTTTTTATTAATGAAAAATGACAAAATATCATTATATTCTCTCTATCCCAAATTAAGCTTTAATTATTAGAGAGTGCAATTACATTATTGGAAGAGAAAATTAGAGAGTGACATTTTTGACAAAACATAATACTTGAATGGTTCCGGAATGAGGCAGAAACGCTCTAGATAATCTGAGCATTTCCCTCACAATCGCTCTAAGGAATCTTAGAGATTTATTGCGTGTGTATATATATATATATATATATATATATGCTTCTTTCAAGAAGTCTTAGGCACCAAGAAACTTCCAACAAAATATCGTTAAAATGGTGTTAAAAAAGTGTTAAAATTTATACTAATTTCTCAAACAACATTAAAACTTATATGGAGTACTAATTTCAAAAATGGGAGAGCAAATATTTAATGTTTGTTGAATATTTTATTTATATGATATTATTTTAAATAATTTTAAACAATTCGAATTATTTAATTTTGAATTTATTGAATTATATTTATAGTGTTATTTATTATATTTTTATTCTGTAAAATTTTAAATTGATTTTCATATTTAATGTGTTTTTAATTTGAAATTCGACTAAATTATTTAGAAAAAAGACTAAATTAGCAGTAAAACATAGAAAAAATATCAAAAAATTAGAGTAACAATGTCAATAATGTCAACATATGATACCGAAAATAATGTAGAATGCCACTATACGATTAAACACTATCACAGTGTAAACTTCTTAACTTCAGGATAAAAATATGAAACTATATTCTCCATAAAAGGGCAATGTTCTACTCTTCAGAATAATTTCTTTAATATTTTTTCCATATTTAATGAGTTTGAACGTCATTTGATGGTCGTTAGTCGGAGGACTAATCTGAATATTATTACAAATAAAATTAATAAAATTATATTTTATCAATATTTAATATTAATATTAGTTGTTTAATTAATTAACAAAATTTATTAACTTTAACGGTAAAAGGTCAAAGCTAGACCAACACTCTACGTAATATTTTCATTGTGTGTTCATTTCAGAACTTGAGTTGTTCCAATAAAAAATATTCAGATAGTTATTATAAATGTTGTATTGCTTTAATATGAAATAATATCCGTGATTAGTTTTTTATGAGAATAGATATCTTACCATCTGACATACATAGAACACTTCTTAATAATATTTTGAATTAATTTAGGGTTCATTCTAAAGGAATAGAATGTTCATTTTCAGACATATATTCATTACAGTTATAATATTCTCTTGCAAAGTGAACCTAACGTAATGTTCATTCTAAAATATCACAATATCCATTCTGAACTTATCTAGCGTCCATTCCGCAACATCCACCTCCCCTGACCTTCAAAATCCTATATATCCTCATCTTTTTATCACAACACCCAGTTGATAAACGCGAATATTCTTAATTGCACAACATTTTATCTACTTTTTTCATATTTTCGTTATCTATTTAATAAAATAATATAATCTTGTCACATTTTATTTCAGAGAGTATTTCTTTATATAATTTTAAAATATATTGATTTTAAAAAGTAGTTTTTAATTTTACCCAATTCTTAAATCATTTATACTAATATTCAAATAAATTCAATCAAACATAAATAACATAAACAAATTATTTAAATTAAGACGGGAGAAAGTAACAGAGAGTTTTTCTTTATATAATTTTAAAATATATTGATTTTTTTGATAAAAAAATCTACTCCCTTCGTCCCAATTTATTGGCAACACTTCGAACAACGTGTAAAATATCACTTCTTTTAAAATCACTTTAATTTCAAATTAGTAGAGTAATAAAAAATAAAAATTACACCATTCAAAAGTACATGAAAAATTCTACAAAATAAGATGTGACAAGAATATTTTATTTTATAAAATGATCAACCAAAACTAGTAAATAAACAAAAATTATCAAAAGACTAGAAGAAGGAAATATTCTTTATTCATACAACTCAACTTTTTTTGAACATGAATAATCACAACGTACGGAATTTCGGATTTGTGTGGCAACTGGCTACCATCGTCGTCATCATCTCCGACTCTCCGTACCAAACAAAACCATTAAGAAAAAGGAAAATACCGGCAACGCAAATTCACAAGAGGAAAAAAATTATAATGCGGCTTCACAGTTCAGCTTTGGTGGCTTTTATATCCCCGCCGGAGGCGGCGGAATCTCCGGCAATGTCGATGACCTTGGCCTGCTTCTTCTTCTCCTCCGCCACCTTGGGAACCGTGATCTTCAACACTCCGTCCTCCAAACGCGCCTCAATTTGTTCCAGGTCCGCGTTTCCGGGCAGCCTGAACTGGCGCCAGAACCTACCCGCAGCCCGTTCGGCCCGGTGCCACTTCTCCCCCCCGACCTCCTCCTCCTCCGCTTTCCGCTCGCCGCTGATCCGGAGCACCCGGTTCTCCTCCACCTCGATCTTCACGTCCTCTCTCTTCATCCCCGGCACGTCCAGCGAGATCACGTGCTCCTTCCCCGTCTCCTTCCAGTCCGCACGTGCCAGCGCCAGAGACTCCGCCGCTTTGGGGATCGTGAGCGGGCTGTGTTCGAGGATCCTGAACGGATCCTCCGACGGGAAGACCAGATCCAGGAGCGGCGAGCGAGTGTACGGCATTAGCGCGTGGGCCGGCGCCGGGAGGAGAGAAAAGGCGAGGAGGAGGTAACCGGCGAAGCAGATGATCAACTTGGAATATGACTTCTCCATTGCTGACTCAACTTGTTCTTCGATTGAATTGAATTCCTTGCTGTGATTGGGCTTTGATTTGAGTTTTATGGTGCGTTGAAATTGTACCGATGAGGAGAGTGAAGGGATTGGCGGTGTATTTATAAGGGGATTTGTGGCGGGTTCCGCGGTGCTTCTGGAAGAATGTGGGATTTTGAGGAGCTGTGTACAAGTTTCTAGAGATATCTCTGCATGGGTTCTCGAAGTCTCTCGTCTTTTATAGTCTTGTGAGGAGTCTGGTGAAGAGAATGGCTTAGCTTAAGGCAATGTTTGGAATTTGTCTAACTTTAATTTCTTTAGTCAAACTTATAATTAAATAAAATACATATTACTACTTATATATCAATTAGATAAAGTAATATTTTAAAATTATTTTTTTTATATAAAATCTAATAAAATTATTTTTGTATTAAATCTAATATCGTTTTAATTTAATTTGAGTTTAAAGTTACCAACTTTGACCGAAATAAGTCAAAACTAAATAAATGTTTTAGAACTGAGGAAATGGCATTTTATTTCAAATTGAGTTTTGTTAGGAACTAAAAAAATTGACTTAAATTCAAATTCAATTTTTTTTTTTGAGTTTCTCAAACAAGGAGTTAGAGTCAAATCCAAATTTGAAATCTAAATCGAAATTCCCAAACCATAAGATATTTTGTCCAATTTTAACTTTTTTCAATCAATTATTTTCAATATTTGACATATAATTTAATAAAAAATTATTTATTAATTAAACAAAATAACATTTTAGAAATAATTTATGTAATAAATCCAATAAAACAATTTTTGTATCAATATTTACTATCATTTTTATTTAATTTGAAGTCAAGTTTAACAATTTTGACCAAAAAAATCAAAAGTAAACCAATACTCAAGGATGGGGGGTACTCTCTACATCACAAAAAAAATACTCGTATTACAATTAGGTCATGTTCTCTTTACTTGATTGAAAATCTGATTGGAATAAGTTCTGATTTGATCTAAAAATTATTTTTGATCTGAACTAATTTCAATAATAAAAAATAATAATTTTAAATAATAACAATAAGTTGAAGAAAATATGACCTTAGAGCGGTATCAAAGTTAAAGATCGACGAGTTTGAGGGGACCCATCAACGATACCATTATAGCGATAAAAAATTAGACAGAGAGATTTCATAAAATCAGCTTTAGAGCCATCTTGCATGAACAAAATAAGGTTGCGGATCGTCTTGCTAACCTTGTGGCTTTTCAAGATATTTCGTGGAAAATGTTTGAGGTCCCTACTGCAGATGCAAAGTTAGAAAACTTGAGTACTGACGATATGATGAGGGTCACTACGCGACACGCTACCACCACTTCACGAGGCTACTAGCTCGGGGTCTCCCCCTCCTTGTTGATAAAAAAAAAATTAAATTTATAATTAAATAAATATTTTAAGGTGTATTAATTTGATAAAATAACATTTTGAAAGTAGTCTACTATATTACAAGATAAATTTAATAAAACTATTCTTATACAAAATCTAATATTTCCTCCATTCTTAAATGATTTACAAACTTCATTATTCAAAAATCGCAAGAACTTTTGTTTATTTTTGTATTTTCATTGACTGTTTGATGAAATAAAATATTCTTGTTGTTTCTTAGTTTGTAAGACTTTTGATATATTTTTTAAATATGCAAATTTTATTTTTAATTTATATAACACTCTTTAAATAAAATGATTTGTAAAAACATGAGATTTTCATTTGTTTCGCATAAAGTGTAAATCATTTAGGGACGGAGGGTGTATCAATTTTATTTAATTAATTGTCAAAAATTATTAATTTTGATTACAACTAGTTAAAACTGAACAAACACTTACAACAGGATAATAAAATCTTTTGTCGAATACTAGATTAGGACGAGACTATGATTAGTTTTAATCGTCACAAAACACCAATTAACTATAATTGTTTATTTATCCGGAATAGATATTAAAATTTTCATTTTAGTTTTAGTGTGTAGTCATTTCAAAACTTGAGTTGTTTGGGGAAAAAAAAAATCAGAAATTGAGTTATTATAAATGTTTTATTGCTTTAATATGATTTTTGAATGATATAATATCTCTCTCCTTTTAAAACATAAGTTCTTGGAGTTCCCAGTGGGGGGGGGGGGGGTGGTGCCATACCCTCTCCACATAATGAATGGAACTAAAAGCTCAAGGCCTCCTATGCCATGAAATGCCAACAAGCAAAGCCAAATTGGAAGAAGAAAAGAAGAACAGGACACAAATATGTTCCATGCTTGGGCTAAAAAAGAGAAGAACAAATGAATAATGAATCATATCATATCTGTCAGAGATAAACAAGGTTAAGGATGAGGGTGAAGTTGAAGGTAAGGATACAAGCCTTGTACAGAAATTTTCTCAGGGGAGCTGCAAAAGAGTATTTAAAATGTCCTTTGGTTGGATGGGACAAAGTTTGCATCCCAAAGATTAATGGAGGATTAGGCTTGAAGAATACAGTTTTGTGGAATACAAACAAAGAGAAGGCTTAGCAAACTCATTGAGATCAATCAAAACTGTATTCTTTGTGAAGAAGATGAAGCTGAAGATTGTAATCATCTCTTCTGCAACTATACCCTGGATTTTGGTGCTAATAATATTGTGGCCAGTTCCAAAAATATAATGTAAAATTAAACGAAGTGGCTCTACCAACAGAATGAGCTAAATCTATAGAAGAAGAAGAGTTCAGTGATTGTTCACACATCAGCTAAGAAATATCTGAACTTAATATTTAAAAGCACATGTCAAGTATTAACCTTAATTAAGAACCAACTCGCGAGTGTCATTAACACCCTCAGATTGTCTATATTTCAACCATGATGTAACTGCGATATTTGTTGTATAGAACAAGCCAGGAATGTCGGGTTCTTCCAAGAACGGAGCATTTAGTTTCCTTAATTGTGACTCAAGCACGTTTGCCAAGCGTGTCTCCGGGTGGTTGTGTCTTCCATGCCCTGTATTGATCCCAAACAATGACGGAAGCTCCTCACCATTTTCAATTGCTCTGCTCAACTCATTCATCCAGATGTGCAGTGCAGTTAGAGCTGCCCCAGAGGACATACTCTTCAGATGGAGGCACCACTGGGTAGGTTCTTTGGTTTGTATACCGGTGTAGATATCGAATTTCATTCCAAGGACAAACAACTCAGAAGCTTTTCTGTGTTGGTTGAGTCCCACACAAACATCAATCAAGGAATTGCAGAAAGCTCTTCTCACACCAGTGCTAATTGAGCTAAAGAACTCACTGGCTTCATCCTTGAGTAGAGTCCCTCCTCCAGCCTTCTCTTCATCAATCAGGAGCTTCACAATGTAACCAAGGTTTGGCATGCTCTTCTCAATGCATGCAGCCAATCTAGCCATTTCTTCCCTGCGTGTCTGCGCCAAGACACTGACAAGGCAACAACAAAACCTCTCATCAGGGGTCAAACCCAAATCCAAAAGCCAGTCAAATGTCCTTACGACATCATCTGTACGATTAGCTTTCCCATAGCATCGAACTAGCGATGTGAGGACATGAATGTCTGGCTCCAGCCCTTGTTTTTTCATTTCATCTAGAATGGCCTCTGCTTCTGAAACCTTCCCACTGTTAGAGTACACTGCGACCAAAGAAGAATATGTCCGAAGGTCGGGCTTGGACATTTCACAACCAATCATATCGTTATAAATTTCAATGGCCTCTTTTAGTAGTCCCAAGTCAGCACACATTGCAAGCATTGTATTATACAGAATGGTATTCGATTTCATTCCCTTCTCCTTCATTTCTTTATAGACATTAAGAGAATCATCGCCATAGCGAGCCCTGCAATATGCTTGGATCATAGCAGAGTAGGTGCCCCAATTTGGCTGGAATCCATCTTGTACCATATCAAGGTAGATGTTTTTAACCTTCCATGGCCTCATAGCTCTTCCCATGGCAAGCAACAAATTGTTGTACACAGACAAAACAGGCTCAACCCCAAGTCCCTTCATTTCCTCGTACATATTCAAGCACCCGTCGTAATTCCCAGAAATACCATAAAGCCTAATTAACGAGGAAAATGCCCGGGCATCAAGACTCAATTTCTTTTCCCTTGCACGGTCGTACAATTCCAATGCCTTGTTCGCATTTCCCAAACGCGCGTAACAATCAATCATCATTGAGCATGTAATGCCGTCTAGCTCACACCCCAAAGCTGGCACCTTTCCAAACAACTCTAAAGCTTTTCTCGGCATGGCGCAAGATTTGGCACAGCCAATAATAGTGGTGAGTGTAATTTTATCCGGCCTGACTCCTCTCTCAAGCATTTCATCAAACAGTTTCTCTGCTCTAGCGAAATCATTATTCTTCTTTAACAAGTTCAAAGTCACATTGTACAGAACAACCTGTTTTGCTGATTTGAGCCTCCGCCGGAAGTAATCAAACACCAGAAGCCCGGTATCAGGGTTTGACATTCTGTTCAGGATAACCACGGCGTCATGTTCTTTGGCTTCACCCCTCAGAACCGCCAGCACAGCCGCCACATCCTCTTCCACAGCTTTGCAGGAATCCAAAGATTTCGAAATATCCAACAAGGAAGAGTACTGGGAACCGTAAGAGCTCTCGATCAGCTTAGAAGCCCTGGGGTTGTTGGGATTGACCCAGACGTAGCTTGTGGAAGAAGATGAAATGTTCTGACGGGAATTCGAAGGGGCTTTCGATGCCTGAACCTGGATCTGCACGGAATTGGGTTTCAAGATTCTGAGGGGAAGAAATGAGGAGCTTCGAGAATGGAGGGAGTTGCAGAAGAGAGTGGATTCTGGGTAGTAAGCCATTTCTATCCCTCGGAATCTCTGATTACTGTCAGTCGGCTGGAGAGTGGAGACGGAGTTCTTCAAGCTCGAAGCAGAGTGGGTTTATCCATTTCCAGTATTTTCTATCCGCTAATGCCTCCAACTCGACTTGGCTCAGTAAGCTCGAGATCAGATCGTTTATCTGAAAAAGGTCTCCACTTCGAAATCGTTTTGGTATTGGATTGGGAAACAAGCTGGGCTACTCGACTTTAATTATCATTATGATATTTATGGTAATGTATTGGTTAGAGAGAAAAATATTTTCAAAAAAAAATATTTTCTAGCGGAAATGTATTTTCTAAAGAAATTTTTTTTTGTCTATATTTTTTATTGTTTGATAAAAAATAATTTTTCTTCCAAGAAAATATTTTTCTTATAACACATCACCATAAATCGGACTAAAATATAGATAAAGTACAAAATAAGGTTTCTATATTTTTATTTCCAAAATTAGAATTTGCATTTTGGTAATGTGTCATTGTACATATACATTTTGTGTAATGTACATGGTTATGATTGATAATATAAATGAATTTAATTCCTATTTCAGAAATAAAAACATGAAACTCCTTTTTTTGATATATTTTTAATGTTTTACTCATTATTTAGTCTTTTTTTCCTTTTCTTATTTCTTAGGAAGAAAAAATGAACTTCGATTAATTTTTAATCTTTGAAGAATAAATATATTCGGGGGCGTGCGAGGGTGGGCAGTGAGCGAGAGTGGATGACAGTGGGGTGAGGGGAGGTTGGAGTGGCTGGGAGTGGGGCGAGAGTGGTTGCAAACATGACGGGGTGAGGGTGGACGGGGTTTGGACGGAGATGAGGACGGAGAGTGAATAAGAATTTCTTTCTAAATAAGAATAAACATTTTTTCATACTTTTTCATCATTTTCTTCTTGTATGATCTAAAAAATTTTAGTCTGATTTATTCTGAATTGAGTTAAAGTTCAATATATTTTTATACAATTTGAGTTTTTTTTAGTTGGTCTTGTTCGATTTTAATAAAAACAAATAATAAGTGATACAGAATAGAATTTCTCTCTTGACTTGAGCGGTGGGATGTTCTCTTCGTAAAGATATTAACTCATTATGCGTATTAGGAAAAAGATATTATGAATAAGTACTACACTATAATCAAATCAATAGTAATAAAAAATAATAATAGAGAAAAAAATAAGTTAGAAATAACATGTCTTACCTTTGTTTTTTTATTTGAAGATAAAAACACCTTTGTTAACTCAAGGTTGAATGACTTTTAAATTTTGGAGAGTGTATATTTATAATTTAAGGAAGTACTTAAAGATAGTACTCCTCTCCTCTTAAATTAAGATGAATATTATAATTTAATTACAAGGTCAAACTCATTCATTTTCTTTCTCATTTTTCATTACTCATTTGATAAAATAATACCAAGTACTCTGTATAATCATATCACGCCTTGTTTCGTAGAACTTTTATGTAAATTTTATTTTTTTTGATTCACCAAAAATCTCAAATATATTGTCTTAGAGACTTCAATCAAATATCGCAAATCAAAATAGACAATTTAAATTAGGATAGAACGAGTAACATGTCTTGTAAGAAGAGGAAACCTCTCCTTGACCAAACTCTAGTGCCTATTGAGCACACATCAGGTTGGATAAATTTTGTCTAACACGTTTATAGATCTAGGTTTGTTTCATTGTACGTACTCATCATACGTAAATCACGATTTGAAATTTTTTGGTACAACTTATATAAATGCAGAGTAACATTCAATCCATATAAATACTAGCCACTTATGCGTGGCTCGAGAGTTTAGGCAGACTCGATAAGGTTCAAACTTGAGCACAGAACGAATAGATAGAACTCAAGTTAAAATCTAGGCTCTATTCCTAAGATGCACGTGAAGGTCCAAATGACTATATGAAGGTCCGACATAGATCTTAGGTTCATGTAATAATTTGACCACATTTCCATCCTTGCTCAAATTCACCTTGAGGAGCGAATTACGGAGAGTTTTGTTGTTGCTCCACGGCGGCCTCCATTCGGTTAGTTTGGTGGCATTTGGAGCCATCTCAACATGGCACCATAACGCCCACAGTGGATTTGTATAAAGCATTACCCATTCAGGTATACTCATAGAATATGGAAACTTTGTACAAGGAAGAAGCAAAAGACTAGTCACAAAAACTTTTGAAAAGCCATTAGAGTCTTTCCTTCACATTTTAATTTTAACTAGAGCCAGTCCAGTTAGTTCTAGAAAATGAAGTCTAGATACGAAGTTTGGAAACTGTAGTCTAAAAGATAAAAAAAGCGTGAAATCTAAAAATTGAAGTCTGAAATTTAGAAATTACAAATTAGAGCTTGAAGAAAGACATACGGAGTATATGTTTGAACAACAGAAATATAAAGTTGTAAAGAATCGACATATGATGGAAGAAGAACATTTTTTCGCAGCAGAACACAGAAACCAAGCTAGCTAGTAGCAGCTCCTGGGAGCTAGGAGATGCCAAGCATGGCAGAAAGCACCTGGGACATGATATAGAACCCGCCCGCAACCACGATGACGACGAGAATTGCAGAGACGGGGCTCCTCAGCAGCTCGAATATCGGCCGGAAAACGGCGTACAGAGCACCCGTACTCACAGTCAGGGCAAATACTCCATAACGCCTCATGTTCTCCCAGAAATCCTCCATTAATGGACCTCCGGGTCCTAAAGCCAGCGCCTTTTCTTCCTCGCCAAGACCCATAAGTAGTACCGCAGCTCCTACTGCCGCAGCTCCCCACATCAGAGCTCTTGATTTCTGGTCTGGTTTCTCTGAGAATTTCTGGGGATTCTCCAGATTTCTTGGGTTTTCTGTGTGGGTTTTCTTGAAGGAGGAGGAAGCACTACTACTGTTCTTGAGAGCTGGGAAATTAGTGGGATTTTCTTGGGATTTAGATCTGATTTGGATGAGAATCGGAGCGCTAGATGGGGAAGAAGACGGGGAAGAAGTGAAATGGGAGGGGATTAAATGGATTTGCGGTTTCAAAGTTGTCATCTTTCTTTCAGTTTAATTGCCTGTTTCGATTCAGAGGTTTGTGAACTGTGAAATGGTGTGAATGGCCTTCGCTTTATTTTAGCCTCAGATTTGTTTTGCCTTATCTCACTACGGAGTAGAAGTTAAAATGACTACTCGTGTTTGGGACTTTAGGTTGGCTAGAGAATGGATGAAAAGTTAATGAAAAACAACCTTCCCCATTATTTGGATGGTGAAATTTGTATTAGTACTAAAAGATATGTCATTTCTTAATATAGTACTTAGAGTCCGTTTGGTCTACGGAATTAAAATTGAATTGGAATTGAAATTCCATTGAATTCAATTCCATAAAATTGAATTATACCAATTCCTATTCATTTTTTGCATTACCAATTCCAAATCCACATAATTATTGTGCTACCAAACATCAGAATTAGAATTGAAATCCTTAATTCCAATTCCATAATTTGAATTCCGTGCACCAAACGGGGCCTTAGACTTTTATTCTCTAAATACTACTTTAAATAGTACTTGAATAATGTCTAGTGGCGGGAATAATGTCCAGTGATGATGGACATTTAGTTTGAACAATGTTTAGTGGCGGTAGACATTTACTTAAACAATGATCAATGGTACTACATTGAAAAATAAAAACATATGAAATACATTAGAAAAGTTATTATGTTTTAATACTATTTAAGAAAATTTTCCGATTTTGATGACGTGAAGAAAGGGATGAAAGACATTAATAGGTGAGAAAATACAAAAAGTAACACATATTCCATTTTTGTCTAGGAGATAAAATGGATTTAAGTGAAAATAATATTGGAATATATTTGTATATATTCTGTATTTACTCCCTCCATCCTAAAACTTTCTTCCCACTTCCCCTTTTTCTTCGTCCTAAAATTACCTTCCCATTAGAAAAAAAAGATGACAAATGACATTAATACCCTCATGTATTTACACCAATTATCTTCTAACTCTATATTTTGAATGATTATAAAAAAAAATTCAAAAAATCTTTTTTAAGGAGGGTAAAATTTGAAGTCAAAGCCAAAAATTAAAAATGGGGAAAAGTCAAACTGGGAAGAAAAAATTAGGACGGAGAGAGTATTATATTTCCTTGTTTATGTAGACTTCCTTAGATAGTTTTGGTAACCATTGAGATGTATATATATGGACCTATTGTAGAATTAAGTTCTAAAATTTATCAAAAACTAATCATGGATCTCATGTAAAAAAAATCTCACCAAAATTGTTGAGAAAATAGTATGAGCGATGTGGCTTTTCTCTCGCGACTTATTTTATTCTCTTTTGTCTTTTTAACTTCTTTTTCATCATTTTCTATTAATCCTGCTATAATTTGAGAATAATTAATCTTATTGATTATTGAAGAATACATCCATATTTATAGCGGATTTCATAAATAGGGTGAATGGGGATGTGTATTGCCTACCCCTTTATTTGCCTCAAATTTGTTATGTCTTATCTCTATCTACGAGTAAAAGACACAAAAGACACTTTTATATACTAAAGACAAACTTTTATACACGGAAATACATTTGTCTTGGAAATTAACTTATGAGGTGATGCACACCAAGTTCTATTTTTCACCTTACTAACAAAATATATGTATGAACATTGGCCCAGGGGCATTGCTCAATGATCAATATAAATTATAAAGTGCGGAAAGGCGTAATGACTTCAAACAAAGACAAGCATGAGATAATTTATACTCTATATAAATATTTTTTACAAGACTAGAAATAAACTTCGTTCTTTATTGCTTACTTAAAATTAAAATCCTATTTACATCTTCTCATATAAATATAGTGTCAGGGCCAGAGCCCCACATGGATGGGTGTCATCCTCTTTTTCTATATAGAGTATTTTTATTTTTTATGTATGAACATGTTAAATTTGCCCCGTATGGAACCAAAACTTGGTGCCTTTCCCCTTTTAGTACCACTTGTTTTTTTTCCAAAAATGGAACTAATTTGCACCTGATCTCCCTATTTTACCCTCTCACCTCTAAATTTAACCTTCTTCTTCTCCGATTCAATTTTCCGCCGCGGCCTTCTTCTCCGATTCAATTTTCCGCCGCCTTCTTCTCCGATTCAATTTTCCGCGGCCTTCTTCTCCGATTTCAATGTCTACTGGATTTTCGAAATTCAATGTCCACTTGTTTTCTAAAAGTGTTCAATGCCCGCTGGAATCTCAGAATTCAGTCGCGGAAGCGTGTTAAATGCCCAGATCAATTCTTTGATCAATGTCTGCTCAACCTCCTTCATATCATATATTGCCACAATGTCTTTGTGATGAATCCAAGGACATTAACATACGTATTATACTAGGACATTATTCAACTAGATAGAGGTCATTGTGACATCGGTGATGGGCAACGACAAGGTGGACATTTTAAGTAGCTACCATCAGTAACACTCATCAGTGGTAGATGGTCGCAAGATAGACATTGTAACATCGACGGTGGACATTGTGAAATTGACGGTGGTCGGCGACAAAGTGGACAGTTTGACATCGGCGGTGGGCGGCAGCTATGATAACATTGACGGTGGACATTGTGACATCGGCGGTGGGCGACGGCAAACTGGACATTGTAGCATCGGCAATGAACATTGTAACATCGATAGTGAGCGGCGATAATCTTTAGCGCGGCTCTCTCTGGCTATAAACCTGGATAGGCTGCTGGATTTTCGAAATTCAATGTCTACTGGATTTTCGAAATTTAATGTCCACTTGTTTTCTAAAAGTGTTCAATGCCCGCTGGAATCTCAGAACCTAGATTTTCTATCGTAAAATGAAGGCGGCTTGCGCGTTTCTCCAAATCCAGCGGCCAGGGTTATTTTAGTCATTCTGGTCATTAAAAAAAGGTTTCTAGTGGTACTGGTCCTACTTTTGGAAATTAGCATTGTTTTAGTACCATATTTGAAATTTTCCCTATGAACATTGCATTATTTAACATTACTTTTTTGTCAAATGCAAAAATGAAGGGTATGTAGTAGTCCTCCGGGGTAGAAACATACAATATTTGAAGTCGTAAATATTCCACTGTTTTCCAGTCCTATACGCAGTTTGTCTCGCCCTCCTCTGACGACTGCCATGATGTTTCGGCCATGGCACCGCTCCTCCTTTTCTACTTCTCCCCGTAATCGTTTTCCGCTTCATTCTAGCTTCTTCTCCAAGCCTTCACCATAGATATTACCGACACCGGAGAAGAAAAAAGTATTCTTGAAAAGCTCGAACCGGCCACCGCCCAAAGCACCGCCATCTTGCTCTTGGCTCCGCAAACGCAAGAACTTCCTCTCTTTCTTTCTTTCAGGGTATCTTCGTTTTCTATGCTCTGTTTACTCTTTAGCATTTCTTGCCTTATTGCCTTTTTGATTGGTTATGAATATGTGCACATCCAGACCTAAGCTTTAGGTTCCTATGAGTGTGTGATCACTCCAATGTATGAATGGTTGATTCAAGTGTCTGTTTTTGGTTGAAATTTGCGGTGGGTTCGAAATAAGGAAAACCCGCGTTGGGTTTTTGTTGTAGATTATGTTTCTGGAATCATTCCTTGTCTTATCATGGGGTTCTTGAGTTCCAAGTTTATTGTACATCCAGATGTTGTGTGCTTATTGTACATCTGAGTTATGTGCATTTACAAGTTATGCAATATTCGTTTTGCACATTAACTTCCTTTCTTATACTTAGAGCATGCACATTGTGAAATTGATGTATGGACATTTGATAATTGCACAGTGTTCATTCCGTTGTTAAATGGACTTTTCATTTTGTTCCTAATAACACTTCCTATCCTTGAAAGAGTAAGATGAAGTCTTGAAAACTAACTTGCAGAAAAGCGCACATTTGTTTTTTTACATGCCCAAAGCATACACGTTATACAATTATTGTGTACACAATTACAAGTTACATAATGCTCATTGGATGTACAAGAAAGTTAGCACATCGGGATGTACAATATCATTTGTTTGGGGTTCTTGAAATTCATTGATTACTTCACATTGCTTCTTAATTTGATTGCAGATTTTGCGCAATCCCACCACAGCCTAAATTATACTGTTTTGTCATATTACTGGGATTATAGAATCAAAAGAAAATGAGGGTTTAAGGCTTGATTAAGTTTGGGATGTAGCAGAAACTGAAATTCTATATATAGTTTCTTGAATGAGTGTCTGTATTTTAGATTTTCAATACTTGATGGTGCTTAGTCGTAATGATTGTATGCAATTATACTCTTTTTCTGCTTTGGACTATCAGGATGTCAGGAAAGGATCGTGCCTTTGTAGCTTGGGAAGAAAAAATTCTTTCGCAAGAGAAGGGGAATCGTCTTGTTCACTACTATTTAAAAGATAGTGTGGGATGTTCACTCCTAGCTGTTGTGGGCACAGAAAGAAGTGCAAGGCACATGATCTATGCAATCTCTGAAGAGTTTCTAGATTACCAAGATTGCCGGAATACCCCTTTTGCAGAGAAAAGATGGCGTACAAGGCGTGAGCTTGTTGAGTGGCTCGTATCAATGATTTCGCCTATTTCAGGTATGCTGTAAAAAGATTTTTTATTCATGTACTTACTTATTTTGACTAAATGTCTTCTCCTTCCCCTGCATGCATGTTAGGCCTTTATGGATATGGAATTATTATCTATTTATTCGTGTGGTTTGGATGCAGTTCTCTAGATATGATGGTTAATTAAATTTTATGACTTGGATTATAAACTTTAATATGCTTAAAGTTTGAGCAGACGACTCTCCTTTCCCTTTCTGCACCACCAATAGGGTGCTATCTTGAGTTGGAAGTCGGAGTCATTACCAGTTTGGTTAAACCTAGATGACTTGTTTCATGTTTTCAGAACGAATGTACCCATACAAATAGTACAAAGTATTTTAAGCCCTATTTTTATTAAATCGTCTTGTAATGGGAAGAGAGCTATTGGACTTTGTCATTTTCTTAAGTTTTTATACATTTCATTGAAGACTCCATTGCACAGAGCGAAACTTGTTCAATGCGTAATTACCTAGGAGCGTGTCATTAACTTTTATACCCTATTAGTCTACAGATTTTTA